GAGAGCAGTGCTGAGAACATGGAGCAGTGCTGAGAACAGAGTGCAGTACTAAGAACAGGGAGCAGTGCTGAGAACAGGGAGCAGTGCTGAGAACAGAGTGCAGTGCTGAGAACAGAGTGCAGTGCTGAGAACAGAGTGCAGTGCTGAGAACAGGGAGCTGTGCTGAGAACAGAGTGCAGTGCTGAGAACAGGGAGCAGTGCTGAGAACAGAGTGCAGTGCTGAGAATAGAGTGCAGTGCTGAGAACAGAGTGCAGTGCTGAGAACAGGGAGCAGTGCTGAGAACAGGGAGCAGTGCTGAGAACAGAGAGCAGTGCTGAGAACAGAGTGCAGTGCTGAGAACAGAGTGCAGTGCTGAGAACAGGGAGCAGTGCTGAGAACAGGGAGCAGTGCTGAGAACAGATACCATATATTTCCATTCTGTTGGTTGCTGGTTGGTGAGTGCTTCATCTGGTAGCTCTTGCTATATTATCACTGTGAATGTTTCTGAGACCAAATCTTACTTTGCAACCCAGGCTGTCCAGAAATCTCAGCCACTGTCTTGCTTTACCCTTCCTACTGCTGGTATTGAAGGCAGCACACTCCTAATTATTTGAATATAATTGTTGAGACTGAAAAGTCAACTTGAGGTTAAGAGCACATATTGCTCTGGAGAAGAGTGGAGCTGTTCCCAGCACCCACATAACAGCTCACAGCTGCCAGTTCTAAAGGGAGCTACTGCCCTCTGGACTCTATGGGCACTGCAAGCAGTTTTGCACACCAACACCCAACACCCCACCACACACACACACACACACACACAATTTAAAAAATAAAATAAATGTTAAGTATAATATTTTTAATGTAAGCCACAATTAATAGAAAATACCTTAGTTTAAATGAGGCATTTTCAGTCAGATAATTCTATAGTTTTAACTGAACATCTTGTGTTATTTTCAATAGTTTGGGCGAATGGGAGGAAGGAAAATGGAGAGAGAAACAAAGAGAAGAAGTTACATGAAGAGAAAAAAGAGGCCTGGAGATATAGCTCAGTCAGTAGAGCATTGCCTAGAGAGCACAAAGCCCTGGGTTCCATCCTCAAACTATATACACTGAGAGTGGTGCACATCTGAGACAGGAAGAGTTCAAGGTCATCGTCAGCTGCATAGGGAGTTTAAAGAAACCAGCACCACCATGAGAAAGCCACAGCCTGTGACTATGCTTGGGGTGGGGGTTCTACCTGTTCTGTGCTACACAGGGATCAACATCATTCTGGGGGTCCTGTTCTACCTGATGCAAGCCCGGAAGTTCCTACAGGAAGGCATGACCTACACACTAGGAAGCAGTTTCTACCTTGCCTGGATCAATGTCTTCTTCTTCTTCATGATTGGTCTGGCTGGGCTCTGGTGTGGCCTCAGTGTGCAGATGGTGTTGGGGGGATTGTTGGGTGTCGGGGTAGGGTTTCACACAGGGCCAGGGAGGGTGGGACTGGACTTGGAGCCAGGGCTGGAGATTCCTGTAGGCTTGGGATGGGTTGGGGACAAGCTGAGGGTGAAGCTGATTTGGGGTTTAAGGATGGGACAGGGGCTGGGTTAGGACAGTGTGGGGTACAAGGTGAGGCTAGCCTACTGACCTCTATGTTCTCTGCCCTCTTTTCTCTCAGGTCTCTTCTCCTACCTGAACTATATCAACTTCTGGTCTATCCTGTCACTCCAGGCCATGTGGTCTTAAGACACAACAATAAACTAACACCAATGGTCTGCTTAGGCTGTCAACTGCCTGACAATCCACCCCTATACTCAAGTTATGTAACTTCTGACTCCCTTCAACCCAGAATACCAATTTATACTTAAAAAATATATATCTTCTGCCCAGAAAATTTCTTTATTTGGCTCTGTATGTTGAACAAAGCACTTCATGGAACTGCCATATTTCCTTACCCCCACCTTGTCATCTTTGTCCTCCTAAGTAGAGGGGTAGAAAAGGGACTCAGGAAGCCATCAAAGGTCAGAAAAGAGACGGGGGTAAGAGTCCTTGGCAAACAAATGGTAGGGTTTTGTTTTGTTTCGTTTGGTGGGTTTTGGGGGGGGGGCAGTGGAGTGGTTTCAAGACAGGGTTTCTCTGTGTAGCCATGGCTGTCCTGGACCTCACTTTGTAAACTCATTGAAATCTACTTGCCTCTGCCCCCAGAGTGCTGAGATTAAAGGTGTGAGCCACTACCACCTGGGCCACAAAGTGCTTAATGCTGGTTGAACAGTTGGCTTCAGCCTTTACTTCTTTTGATTTCTGTTGTGTGTTTTTTTGCTTTTGTTTTTGAGACAGGGTCTCACTATATTGACCAGGCTAGCTGGAGCTCACAGAGATGGGCCTGCCTCTGCCTTCTGAACACTAGGATTAAAGGTGTGCGACACTGTGCCCCAGCTCCAACCTTTAGTTTTATAATCAATAACTCACCTTTTCTGAGGAAATTCTACTCATACCTTCAGCTCCCCTCCCATCCTTTCCTGCAGTCCCATCCTGTAACAGCTCATTCTGCCCCATGTTTGGGGGCCACTTTGTCCCGACCGAGCTGCTGCTCCGGTCCACGGGTCAGGGTCTAGGAAGAGAGAGAGTGGGGATGGAAGGGCAAGAGACGCAAAGAATGGAGACAAGACAGAGAATCTGTTCAAGTCCTCTTTATTGAAAGGAAATCCTAGGTATATATAAGCGCAAGCAGGGGAACACAGCTGAAGACACTTTACCACGTGCACCTTGCAGCTGGGGGCAATGAACAACAAAACAAGATATGGGAGAAAAACATGATGTTTATCAGAGTGTGCTCAGATGTTGTGGGCTGTTGAAAACAAATCTCTTGTCAGGGTATATGGCCTGAGATGGCTCCAAAGATGATAGACGCTTTCTGCTAGGAGTCAGCTCCCAACACCATTCCCCACCCCTTCTCTCCTTCCCAAAGATGCACAACACAAGCCTGTTCAGTGTAGGGCTTTGGGAGGGAGGTATGGGACCAAAAGTCCTCTGATTAGTGGGGAAGGGTTAAAACCCAGGTAAAAACTCCCATACTGCCCAGGTCCACCACCTCGTCCCACACAGGGAAATGAGGGCCCCTTTTCTCATTCTCATAGGTCTGGAGACTGTTACTTAGTAGCTCAATGACTCATAGCAAGGTTGACTCACTTGGGACTTAGTTTCCTTGTCTGTAGAGTAGAGGCAATGATATACTACACAGATCCAACCTTTTGATACCACCCCATAATATTATTTACAAAGTTCATCTCCAAGAACTGCATGATCAAATGGCTAGGGAGATGGTGTGGTGGTTTGAATCCTTGGCCCATGGGAGTGGTACTATTAGGAGGGGTGGCCTTGTTGGAGGAAGTGTGTCACTGTGGGGGCGGGTTTCACTGTGAAGTCTCTTATGCTCAAGCTTTGCCCAGTGTGGAACACCAGCTCCTTCTGCTGCCTGTGAATTAAGATGTAGATCTCAGCTCCTCCACCACCATGTCTGCCTACACATCAACAAGCTTCCCGCCATGATGATAATGGACTAAAATGCTGAACTGTAAGCCAGCCCCAGCTAAATGTTTTCCTTTATAACAGTTGCCTTGGCCATGGTATCTCTTCACAGCAATAACACCCTAAGACAGATGGCTTAGTGGTTACAAGTGCTTGCTTGCTTTTCCAGAAGACTTGGTACAGTTCCTAGCATCCATCTTGGCTACCTCACAACTGTCTGTAACTCCAGCTCTGCCCTCTTCTAGCCTCTGCAGGTACTACATTCATAATATGCATATATGCCCTCCACAACATGGACACTCACACAAATGAAAATAAAAATAAATTTGAAAAAAACCTCCACAATTGAGTTATCAAAAAAAGAAAGAAGGGAAGAAAGAAAGAAAGAAAGAAAGAAAGAAAGAAAGAAAGAAAGAAAGAAGAAAAGAAAAGAGGGAAAAAAAGGAGAAAATCGCCAGGGTCTGGACAAATTGCTCCGCTGTTAAGGGCACTTGGTTTTCCAGAGAACCAGGGCTTGATTCCCAAACATCTCATGGCAGTTCCCACCTGCCCATAACTCCAGTTTCAACACTCTCATCTAACCTCTGAGGGTGCCAGACACACACACATGCAAGCAAAACACTCATACATATAAATCTAAAATAAGCAAAATTTATTTTCAAAGAAAAAAATTTAGATGTGTTCTCATGTATTTCAGGCTGTCCTGGAACTCATTATGTAGCCAAGATGGAAGCTAAGTTCTCAGTCTCTTGCTGGCATTATACATGGGCACAGCCATGCCTGGTTTAACGCTAGGGATGAACCCAGCACTTCCTACTCTACCAACTATGCCACATTCCAAGCAAATGTGTCCATTTTTAAATAGAGGTGAGCAACACCTCTATGTCTTATACTAGACCTACAAGTGATCAAACAAACAGTTCCAACACTGTGCAGACAGACTCAAGATGTGTGCCCATAGATGAAGGTAAGGGGATCCATGCTATGGGGAAAGAGAAAAGTATCTTGATTATTTTTCTGTTGCTATGCTAAAACACCCTAATACAAGCCACTTAAAGGGACAGGTTCACAGTTCAAAGTGCAGTCCATCGCATGGCAAGGTAGGGTGGGGGCAAGGAGGCAAGAGCTTGAGGAGACAGCTGGTCACATTGCATCTGCAGTCAGAGGGACATAAACACTTGTGCTCAGCTTTCCCCATTTATGCAGCCCATGATTCTCCAATAGTGGGTGGGCCTTGGTCAACTAATCTAACCAAGATAATCTGTGCACAGGCATAGTCAGAGGCTAACCTAACCCAGATGACTGTCTACAAGGTTTGCTCCAAGGCTGGTTTCCTAGGTGATACTAGATTTGGTCAAGTTGGCCATATTAACCATCAGTGTGGTAATGGAAAGCAAGCATAGAGGCAGACAGGAAGAGCTCTGAGTTCAAGGCCAGCCTGTTCTATATAGAGAAACCTTGTCTCAAGAAACAAAAATAAGGACTAAAAAGAGGGGGTTTGGTGGGAGTGGAGTCCATTCGGGGATTCTTTGCTAAAATGACAGGTGAGCAAAGGTGACTGTGGGAAGAGGGAAGCTATGTGGACCGGAGTTGCTTGAAACTCAGACAGAATGGAACATGCTAAGAGTCTTGTGGTAAAGAAGGACTCAGTAGGTTCTGTAGATATGTGAAAGGCCACAAGTGAGGGAGGAAAATGAGCAGGGTACACACATAGGGACATCACTGGGGGCCCTGTTGAAACCATTGCTTTTCCTCTGGTGAGAGTCAGCAGCAATAATGTAAACTCATTTACCTAAGAGAAGAATCTTTTCCTTTACGTCAGACCACTAGGTTCCAAGGCCAATCTCCTCAATGGAATTATAAAGAGCCCTATTGAGCAGAGGGCCAGCTAAACATAGAATACTAATGTCACATTAAGGAATCTATAGCTTAAAGAGTGTAACATGGAAAGACTATATGGTGGGCAAATTGAAGAAAAGGAGAACTGGTACGAGATACAGACTTAACAAAAATGTTTTATTTCTTTTGTGGTTGAGTATTCACCTCCAGCTCATCCAAGAATTCAGAACCCTGACCCTTATCCCCAGGACCTGGGGCTCCAGACCTACGCCTCCTTTCTCAGACCCAGCAGTCCGTATCTCAGCCTCCAGATTCAGACCCAGTAGTCCAGTCCTCCAGCCCCGCTCCTTCATGCCCAAGGGTCCAGACACCATGACCCTGCCTCAACACCCAGGGATCTAGACTCAAGCTGCCCTTCTTCAGGCACAAGGAATCTCCGCATTTTCGCCCTAGGGTCCGGGCTCGGGGCCCGCCCACCATAGAACACAGTCCTCTAACTACACCACATCCACGAGTCCCTAAAAGTCTGCCAGTCTGTGCTGGTCCTGCCTCCCGAGCTGCAGTGGCGACTACCGCTGGGTAGGCGCTTTAAGCATAACCCAACCTCTGCAGCTAACTACCCTGCCGCGCTGGCAAGTCGGGGGCCTTCGGGTTCTGGCCTGACTCCCAGCCCTTGGGGGCCTTTCTCGTCCCGCCCCTCCATGGGACTGTCTTAAGTACTGCCTGACCTGAGTAACGCAAGAACCTTTGAGATATGTCCGTCATTCTTTTCATTCTCTTCGGAAACAACACATCTTATCATCTAGTCAGGAATGTTCTAGCGGAAACAGACGTTTATTCTTTCCACTAGCAAGAAAGCAGGATTGCGGCTCAGGCGTAAATGTAGGCTGCCTCAGGGTGGGGCCTAAGAGCCGCTGGAGGCGGTGCCTTGCGGGCGCGGTGGGTGGGACTGACAGGCGGCGCGCGCTATAAAGTGGGACACGCGGCTGTGGCGCGCGCCTGTGGCGATCGCGTGCGAGGTGAGGTTCTTTCTGGTGAGTCTTCTCGAGGTTGGCCTCGGCGCCTTCCAGTCTGTGGTGCTGCTTTGCGCTCTGGGAAGCGCTTGTCCCGAGGTATCCATTGCCTGGTCACGGGTGTACCTGTCGCGTGTACGGGCTCAAGGGCGCTGCTTGGGGCCGCGGGCACGCTCGGGTTGGAACCAGGGTGTCCCCTGAAGGGGCGGATGCGGGTCCTTTGGGGACGATGCCTCTCGCCGGGTTTATGGAGCTTGGGATGCCGGGACGGGCCTTCCTTTGTCTTGCCATAGCCGGGCTACGCCATTTCTGCTGCTCATGTCGCGGGTCTTGTCCGCCATCTTCCCGCTTTTAGGTGACAGGGAGGGGGGGTGTGACATAGAATTTTTCCTCCCAATGACAGCCCCGTGCTACCTGCAGGTTCTCTCCGTGGGAAATCTCTACCACTGCCCCTCCCCCGTGTGGGATTTTGGCATTTTTGTGCAGCCTAGGACACATGAGGGCTGGAGGAGGATGGGGTGTAGGGGCAGATACAGGATACCGAGTTACCAAGGCGGAAGGGAGTGCACGTGGAGGACTGGATTGCTTCGGAGCAGCAGGTAGGAGTAGAAAAGGAGAAAGGGAGCCAGGCCTTTGTTCACGTGCAAGAATACTAATACAATGACTACAAGATACCTAATGGTTTTGTTATTGGGCCTGATGGTTCAAGCATGTCATCCCAGCTACTTAAATACGTTACTTATTTTAACCACACGTTCGCCTCTAAACCAATCTTTTTCTGCCTACTGGTCAGTGCCATTATCACACTCGATTAGATTCTTTCCTCCTGGGATCCTACTGTTCTCTTTGTGTTCCTTGCTAAGTCATCTCCAGACGGCTTTCACAGGGTGGTTCAGATCTGGCTGGAATAAGTCACTGGGCCTTGTTTATATCACTTACATCTTAGTAGGGTTTTGTTTGATTCTATTTTGCTCCGTAGAACCTCCTTAATCCTCCCACCAGATTACTCAGAAGGATTTGTATCTTTGCAGGTTTTGTTTTTCAAGGTTACCAGCAGATACAGCCAAGAGAGGGAAACATCAGGGCCATAGGAAATCTCTATGGACCTATTGGACTGGGGAAGTGGATTTTGTGTTTGTTAATCTTTATATTCTGTTAGCTAGACCCCCATCCTTGGAGGCAGGTAGCCTTGACACTGCAGGAGGCCTGAGACTCCTATGATGTTTAGCACTGGGCTCCAAACATCCGTGAGGACACAGTGCCCCTCCAGGACCTTTGACACCTGGAGGTCTGAGGACCTCTAAGTTTTATGTTCTGCATCTGTGAGGTGTCCCCAGCCATAACCCTCACAGAGTCGTTTCTGTATTACAGGTGTATCTTGAAGTCAAGTAGCCATCCATCGTCTTACTGTGGTGAGAACTTTTACTTTTTAATCTATCCACGCCTAAAATTGTACCTTTTCAGTTACTTTCTATAAGTTGGATTTAGTGGACCAGCAACTATAGGATATTACATATTAAAACTCTTAACTGGGATCAGTCAGGTGGGTGGGTGGTAGCCATCCCAGACCTGCTGTTGATAACTCCATACTGGTCAGTAAGCCATCTCAGTAAACCTGTGTGCTGAATAGCAGACACATCAAGGGCAGGCGCTAAGTCCTCTGTACAGTTACATAGAGGGGGTGGCAGTATTTTCTGCCTTCTAAGGGTAAGGACTGGGTAAAGTGCAAAAGGGACTAGGAACAAAATGTCAGCATTATCACCTGCCCACTAGATTTGTGGGCTGAAGACAATGTACCTTTGAGCATCGCTTAGGGCCTAGCAAATAGTTTGCACATAAAAATGATACTTTCTTTTTAAAGAACCTTGAATTTATATGGGTGCCATTATTAAAATAACAAGATTTGTCAGAAGACAGGAATGTGCGTTATCTGAAAAAGAACAAGTTCTCAGCTCTAGGAGAACGTCTCCTTGTTTCTTGGGTATTGGGAACAGGGGAAACAATGACTGCTGTTGACCTCAGATGTTTTATATCTGACCATACTGGGCTTGGGCTAGTAACAAAGTGTCCTGCATAGCGCTGAACACTGAAGTGTATGGACTTGGCCAAGATGTGAACTGAGCAAGAGTGCCAGGAGCTGGAGAGAAGACCTGGGGCTTACAGGCTGTGTGCTCAGAATGGAACAGGCAGAGCAGAAAGTTACCTATTGTCCACCCTGCAGCCACTGGTATATGGGTCTTAGAAGTACCTGAAACAGGCTGAGTGTGACTGGGGCTGAATTTCTTGTTCATTATGTGGCTACATCTTTAGACAGCTCATTTCTGCACAAAATGGAGGCTTCTGGCTGCTAAATAATTGTGAACACTGTGTGAGCATAGCAGAAAACTGTACTTTCCTTTTCAGTTACTTTCTATAATTTAGATTTAATCAACCAACAATTACAGGGCTCAAGACCAGCCTGTGCTATATAACAAGACTCTGTTGGGGGGAGAAGGGCAGTATTCGAGGAAAATGAGTTTACCATATCCCACCAGGGTCTTAAGCAGGTATCATTTCTTCTCTGCAAAATGCAGAGTCATTACTTCCCCAAGTTGCAGGGTGCAGCAGTGGTGCTGGGCTCAAACTCAGGCAAGTTAAAGAGTTGCTTTAGGGGGAATCAGGCCTGGAAGAAGGGCAGAAGCCACTTAGGGACATGTTCATTCACTACACACTGAGAATTCCTAGGCCTGAGCCATGAGACCAGGACTAGCTTCTGTCTCATTTGCCCACATTCCCAAGGGTAAAGCATCCTTATCTGAAAAAGCATGCAGGTCAGTGTGGACAGTTGAGGGATAATTGTGGCACCTGCCTATAATCCCAACATTCCAGGTGGCTGAGGCGGGAGGATTCTGAGTTCACATCCAGCCTGGACTCCGTACAGAAATAAGTGAGTAAGATGGGGTATGGTAGAGTGTATCAGAAATCCTCTACCTTGGGAATATAAAGGCCAACTTTGTCCACATAGACTGTCTTAAGCAAGTAAACAGTGAAGTGTTGTGGACCCCTAAGGGGCCTGGGTTCTCTGAAACCAAGAATCAGCCATTCTCTTGACTGGATTTCTGATACAGTGTCCTATACTGTCCTCCTTGGGACTTCAAGTGGCCCCAGGGCCTTAGAAAGGGAGGGTATTAATATTACCAGGACCCCTATGATGTTCAGCACTGGGCTCTGACCATCCTGAGGACATGGTGCCCCCGGGGACCTTTGACACCCTGGGGTCTGAGGGGTCCTGACTACAAAGGGATGGAGAAGCTGTGGTCTTCAGGAGTCTCACCAGTCTCTTTCCCTCTCCCTCCTGCCAATAGAGAGAGGCAGGCAGTTCCTCCAGACAACCAGCTTTCCCTCCAGGTAAGCAGAAGGGCTGCCTAAGGTAGGGTAATATTGCTAATACAAACAGCTCAGTTTAGTTTCTGTGCTGTCAGTGTGTATGCTTGGGGACCCCTGTGATGTCCAGCACTGGGCTCTGATCATCCTGAGGACATGGAGCTCCCCAGGACCTTTGACACCTGTGGGTCTGAGGGGTCCTGACTACAAGGAGGGATGAATAGGGGGGTGCCATGGTCTTCCTGCCCCTTGCCAACCTATGTCCCCTCTCCTTCCTGTCTACAGGTGGTTTCTGCAAACTTCCTTCCCTTCAGGTAAGAGCAGAACTGTCTGGAGTAGGGGTCTAATGCTAGTCCCATGAACTTGGTTTACACAAAAGAGTGCTTGAAGGAGCTGGACCAGGTTGCTATGAGGCATCCTGTCCTACCACTCTTGGGAACCTCAATGATGTGTAGCACTGGGCTCTGACCACCATGGTGACCTGTTGTGCCTCCAGGACCTTTGACATCCAGGAGTCTGAGGGGTTTCCATTCTAAGTAGGTACTGGGTGGAAGTTTAGCCGTTTGTCACCTACCAGACCAGCATGTCCTATGTCTTTGCAGCCTCTGTGACAGCATTGCGTCTAGCCCTTTTGCTATCCTTACCTTGAAACTGAGGGCCATGGCGGAGAGAGTGATGGTGCCTACCCAGGTAGGACGGGGGGACCGCTACTACACGTACACAGAGCTGCTGGCTATCTCACGGCGCTTCAAGCAGAACCCCAATGAGCTCATGGTCACCTGGATCCTGCGGGTGTATGACCAGGGAGGCCCTGCCTTGTCCCTGAATTCCGGGGAGCTGGGGCTGCTGGGGGACCTCACCCATGATGCCATCTTTAACTACCGCTGCAAGGCCCTGCGGGGAGCTGGCTGCCAGACTCTACTGAGCTGGCTGCTGCAGGCCTGGCGTCAGCGCTGGGAATCCTCCCTGCATTTTGAGGCCACTGAGCTACCCTTCAGGCCCTGGACCACCATGGAGGAAGGCATCCAGCTGGTGCGTGAGCTGGGCATGATTGAGTGGATCTACCTTGACCCAGAAGGGCCTGTGGACCTGGCCCCAGAGGATGTGGCCTTCACTCAAGGCCTGCAGCGGCGCCTGCTCACAGCAGCACCCTCTGAGCTGAGGCTTTCACTGGTCAGCCTGCTGGTGCGTGGCATGACGGTATTGGAGGCCGTGATGGAGATCCAGACTATTGCTGATGTGGGCCTGCTCTGGCGCCAGAGCCATCCAGGCCGCACCAAGCTCATGCTGGGGCCCAACCCAACTCGTAAGGACCTCCTAGGCTGGCTGCTCAGCCACGGTGTGCCCCGGGAGCAAGTAGACAGGCAACCTACCAAGGTACTCCTGGAACTGTACATCAAAGAAGCCAAGCGCAGTCGTGGCCACCCCAACTATGGGCTGACGGAGGAGCAGCCCCCACCACCCCCTTACTCCGACCAGGCCTGTGGGGAAGAGCAACCTGTGCGTCATGACTAGTCCTGAACTGACTGAGAGGACACTTGATGGTGGGAAGATGAATTGCAGAGAGGCTGCTTGTAACCCAGGTCACTAGGGAGCAGCTTTCAAGCACCTTTCCCACATTCCCACCCTACAGCAGTTATGCCAAGCTCAGTGGCCCCAGAGGAGTGTGCATGTTCCTAGCCACACAGTCTATGTGGAAAGTGAGCCACAGGTGGTTGTAAATCTAGGGTGCTTATGGCCCTGGAATTAATCCCCTTGAGTTGGAGCTTAAGGCCATGCTCAGATTTGTGACCACATCAGGGTCCCCACCACTCTGCCTCCACATGGACCCCAAAGCACTACATACAGGCCATCTTGATTTTTTTACTTTTTCGATGCAACACTTACATAGTATTTTAGGTATAGGCCGTACTTCCATGGACTTTTACTGGATGTTTGACACGTTAGGGCCAGTCTCCCTATAAAAGGCTTAACATTGCAAACTTTTCTAATGCAGCATTTTTACTTTATATTTTATTTTGAGCTTATGTGACACTTTAGTTTTGGGGAGAGGAGAACCCCCTTTTGTAAAGATTTTCCTTTGGGGACCCTGTCCCCGTTTTCTTTTAGCCATGCCCTTTCCTTTTGAAGCACCTTCCAGCTGGGTCTGGTCTCCCCAGCTGCACAGATGGCCTCTGGCCAATGCAGATCTGGATTTAGTGGAGGAGTGAGGTGGGCAGCCCTGGAACTTCTGCCTTCGTGAGTTCCTATTAAATGGCTGGTTCATTGCCCTCTGTGTGGTGTGCTGTTTGACTCGGTTCCGGCGTGGGTAGAATCTGGGTGATGAGCTGGGTCCAGGACAGGTGAGGCACAGGCGCACTTGCCCACCTTTGGCCTGTTTCCAGAGGATACTCCAGCGGTCTGGTGAGGAAAGGTGGGCTGGTGGGGGCCAGTCACAGCCTCTGGCTGGCCTTCTCCCCTCCCTTAGAGCCTGCATTTGATTTGGGTTTATTTTGATTCTTGTAAATCAGACCCCCCTAGTTGAGGCTGTACTTGGATTCCAAGGTATGCTCCTTAGCTTCCTTAGGATCTTGGAGTTTGACGTAGCTTCCCCATGGGAAACCTCAAGACGGGGAACACCTATTGTCTTTCCCAGTGTTGGCTGGGTGCGGGCTCTGGGGAAATGATGTGAACACAAGACAATGGGCATGGGGCTCCTGGTGATGGTAGTGACACCCTAGCTGCTGGTCAGTAGGAGGAGTTAGGTCCTCTGCTTCTGGGAGAGCTTACACGGAAGACACTGGTTACCTTAGACAATGTCCTGGGAGATTCCCTATTTCCCTCTGTTCTGCTACCAGTAGGAAGTAATACCAGGGTAGAGTTGCTTAAGGCAGTTCAGTCCTACGCGCTCTCAGGCTATAGGTTCCCACCTGCTCACATGCTTGTGAGCCCTGACACCTGTATGTACAGCTGCTGATTGCAGTGTCCAAGCAAACAAAGCTTGAGGCCCACCCAGCCTTCATCCCCACAGGCGCATGAGCACAGTAAGTGACAAGCCAGAGCAGCAGGTGAGCACACGTGTTGGGATCCAGTGTCAGCTCAGGGGGTGTTTTTGTCTCTAGTTATCCCTCCCTCACACGGCCCCTCCCAGGGCCCGCAGGCAGCTGGGCCTCCAGGCCAGAAGGCCAAGCCCCAGGCTTAGCACAGCCAGTACAGCCACAGCTCCAGCCAGCAGGGGCACCGTGGCTGCAGAAAGAACATGGGGGTTGTGAATCCCAGGCCTTGGGAACTCCCCACTCCCACCCCTGCGCAGAGGGCTGTCACCTGGGGGGCTGGCAGGCTCATAAGAACCATGGCAGGGGGCCCCGTGAGCTGGAGGCCGTGCTGGAGCAGTCAGCTGCTGGAAGCGCCCAAGTGGACAGGGAGCTGGGCACCCAGGGACCCTGAGTGGCATGGGCGGGCGGGAGGTGTCATTGCGGTAGATGAGAGAGACAGTGACATTCCTGGAGGTGGATAGGACAGTAGCATCACTTGCTCCCTGCCCAAAGAAGAGCCCATCCCACCCAATGCCAAGCCATCCTCACTCTCCATCTTCCTCCTCAGGTTCCCTGGAGCTCCCCCGGAATTCAAAGGCCATGCAGGCAGCATAAGGCGGGGTGTTTCCATCGTAGAGGCCCAGGGCCCCCTGGAGGGCCAGCAGGGTGCTGTCATGCTGAAGAGAATGTCCAGGGATGGAGGCTAAATCAGGACCCCAGAGTGTTTCTAGCACTCAGATTGTCTTCAGTTAGAAGTGACCCCAGACCACTCCCATCCATACCATAGGCGTTCTGTGATTGGCCAGACATGCAAATTGTGGCTGGGCAGTTCTACTCAACAGTCAGTCCTTGCTGGGGACTAAAGTCTTGCTCCTCCAACCCCCTCCCTCATCTTTACCGTTTCTAATGATGCAGTCTAAGTACTGTAGGAGATAAAGGTGACCTAAGGCAATGGGCTGAGGTTCCATAGGCACTATAGTCTCACCACCACCACGCCCGTCATACTCATGGAGCAATGCCTGCCTGTCCCAAGGACTCACAGCTGAGTACATGACCATCTTGAGGGGCAGCCCCAGGCGCTGAGCCCGTGAGAAATTGCTGAGGATGGCATCCAGCAAAATTCCTGAGGGACAGGAACAGACTGTTTAGATGCCTCCTCCCCACCTGAAAACCATTTCCCCTAAACCCACAGACTCTACACCTTACCCCCTGTCAGCTGGGCCTTTTCTGCTGCTCGGGGTGGGCCCACATGTGCCCTGATATCCAGAGCGGAAATCTGTGACAGAGTCCTCAAGACATCTGGGGAGGCCCAGGATGGAAGATCAAGACCATGGGCACGCTGAGTGGGGGGGAGAGAAAGGGTCTCAAGAGTGAGTCCTCAGTGACCCCCCCATTTGGTTTTGTGTGTGTTTGTGTGTGTGTGTGTGTGTGTGTACACCTAGATTAGAGGTTATCTGCAGATATTCCTAAGCCTGACTCACCTAGTTTGTTTGAGAGCCTCGCTGGCCTGGAACTTACCAAGCAGGCCAGGCTGGCTGGCCACTGAACTCCAGAATCTTCCTATCAAGGCCTCACCTGCAGGATTTAGGTGTGAGCTCCTGCTTTTTCGTGTAAGTACTAGCAATCTAAATTCCTCATGCTTGTATGGCAAGCGCCTTACTGACAGCCAACCCTCCAGACCCTGGCCCTCATTCAAACCCCTCAAAGATCAGCTCACCATAGTATGAGCCAAAGCAAGTATCAGACCAGAGTCCTTACCAAGCCCTTTGGGACCAGAGATGCCTTGAAATGTGACATTTGGTTTTCTAGAAAGATCCAATGAAATGGTACCAGGAAAGGGGGTATATATGCTATGTCACCATCCTACCAGCATGTCACTAGCCCCACCATGCAGATGGGGAAACCAGGGCGCACAGGGCTAAATCTCTTGCCCTGATAAAACAGATAGGACAAGTGCAGATTTGAAAGCCCCAGCTGGGAGAGGTGAGAAGAGGACTCACCTGGCAGATCAAGGTATCCAGAACTTTCCATGCTCTGCGGAGTGGTTCTCCAACCAGGGACAGTCCAGTGAAGTTGCCCAAGCGGGTCAGGAAGTCCTGAGTGGAGATACAGGGCTGGATGAGCCCTACCAATCCTTGCTTGACACCCAGCCCCACCCGCCCACACCAGCACTCACTGTCCAGCCCTCCAGGGCCTCCTGGTAGTCAGCTGCCTCTGTGGACTCCCGCAACAGCTCATGGTATCGAGGACAGCTGCGCATGGGGAACCTCAGCAGCTGGGGAAAACTGAGGCTCAGGGAAGACAGCAGCAAGTCTGGTGTCTCACAGCTGGCCCTATGGCCAGGATCTCTGGCCCTTGCTTCTCTCCCAGTGTCTCCTGTATCCAGCTGTGCTGGGCAGGGGTGACAGCTTACCTGTTCTGGATATCTAGCTCTACCAGGGAAAACCTTGCTGATCTCAGCTGTTCTAAGCTTCCAGAAATGTATCCACCTGGCTTGGAGCTGCCCCTGCCCCTCTCCAGCTCAGTACTGGGCTTTATTTCCATCCTGTTTTGTATGCATGGTACTGGTTATAGAGCCCAGAACCTTGGACAGGCTAGGCAATCGCTCTACCTCTAAACCACACCCCCAGCTCCTCACTAGGGGATTCTATGGAGGTAGTTTACCACTGAGCCACACTCCCAGCCCTCCTCACTAGAGGACTCTGAGCTGGGGTCTATCCCCAAACTACAACCCAGTCCTCTTGTTAACTTTTTTTTTTTTTACTTTGAGAAAGTCTCACTAAGGTTTCCAGAATAATATTGAACTTAAGATTCTTTTCTCTCCCACCAGATCAAGCCCCCTGACCTTGTCCTCAGACACAGGCACTGTGTGCACTGGAATGGGCTTCCAGTCAGCCTCAGGACTTCCAGGGGCAGCCTCAGGGAAGAGCCCAGCCAGGTTGGCCTGTGCGCTCTCCAAAGTCCGGTCAAAGTCTGTGCTGCGGATGTACACCTGGGATGGATGAGGGTAGCAGAGCGAGTGAACAGGCCAAGGGTCAGCAGAGTCCCAAATCAAAAGCTTCAGATTTAGTTTAGGGTAAGTAAGGTTAGAGGTCAGGAAGAGGGGGGTCAAAGAACAGGCATTGAGGGTCAAAACTCAAGGTGAAATCACATTCTAACTTCCAACTTTGGAAGTTAGGGTCAGAGGTCAGAGTTGAGTGATGTGTTAACCAGAGGGGTCTACTGATATCAGATCAAGGGGACTGGGGGTAAGATGTCAAGGTATAGAAGGTGGGAACTGAATAACATGGAGCTAAAATTGAGCACACAGCCCTCAGAGGAGTCGGGCCAGGACCCAGCCAAAGGAAATGAGAAGACAGAAAAGGAAGGCCGAAGTGATGATGGTAGACAGCAAAGGTTGGAAGTTGGAAAGGGGGTGGTGCTCAGTGGGGGGGGGGGGGCTTGCTAAGCATGTGCAGGTCCAGATTCTTACCAAGAGACCCCACCCCTAAGAAACACCAGCTGAGCAAAGCAAGAATCAAAGACAGAACCAGGTTCAAAGGTCAGAAGGTCAGGATGGAGTGGTTACAAATCAAGACAGGTTGAGGTCAGGTGAGTGGTAAGACTTCAGTCTTATCAGTTTTAGAGAAGGTCAGAGGTCAGTGTGGATTCCTTACTGACCTAGAAGCCCATGAGGGGTGCAGGTCAAATAGATGAAGATCAAAGACAAGAGGTGAAGACCAAAGGGGGCTCTGGGGTCAAAGGTCAACAAAGTACCTCTTCGCGCCTGTACTCAGGGCTCAGGAAGGCCTTGTAACGCCTCCTCAGAAACCGGCCCAGTTCCAGCTGCTGGCGGATCCCCTCCTGGGGACAGAGTGGGCCTCAGCAGACTCTCATCGCCTGTCCCCTAGCCCTCTTTCTCATCCCCTTTCCCTCCTCACCTCACCTTAGTCAGTTGGCCCAAGCCTCGAGGCCACAAGGTAGAGGCAGCTTCCTTGTGTGGATCTGTGGGGTAGGAGGCCAGTGGGGCCCGGTCGCCATGTCGGAACACCTGGGGATGTTGGAGAACCAGGTCAGGACTGGCCTCGAAGGTAGAAGGTGGGTCAGGTGGGGTGGGGGGCTTCGCACCAGAGCCACAAATAGCAGGGGCCCCTCTGGCAGGGCCTGGGGCAGCAGCAGCAACAGCAGCAGCAGCAAGGGTCCGACCGTGTGGCCCTGAGACCCGGGCTCAGCCATTTCCACAGAGAGCAGACGCTGAGCTCAGCCTCCGTCTGTGCTGT